CTGCCTCTGGTTATGACCGGGGGTGAGCTTCCGTCTTCTTCTGATTCCTCAGTCTCAATCTGGTTTGGTCAGATGATCCTGTGGTCCCTTTTTCTTCCCTAAGACTCAATGAGAGAGGTGGCTGTCGGGGTCACCACCCAGATTCAGGGCACTGAGGAGCTGGCTTAGCTCAGACCCCTTTGCATTTGTGTGGAACCTTATGTTTCCAAGTAGACTCGCAGGCACAGTATTGCATTTGGTCCTGACCACAGCCACATGAGGTAGGAAGGGCATTATCCCCACTTTATAGCTGGGGAAACTGAGGCATAGGATAGCCACATGATCTGGTCAAGGTCATTCAAGTTGTTGGCAGTTTATTATGTTTTTAAAATAGTCACCTGGAAAACACTTAGGTTATCTTAGTTTCACCTGTTGGAACCCCAATTAGCTCAGTACACTAAAGGACACATACTATATTATTAGTAGCAAAAGGATTTGTGTCCTGGGGCAAACATGCTTGCTTCCCATGGTTGGACAATGAGAGTTATGCAACCCAATAGGTTTCTCCTTTTACTATGACTGTCAAGAAACCCAAGAAGAAAATTTTGCTGGGTAATCCCGGGAATAATATCAGGTAGTTTTTGGAGATGATTCTTCTTGTTCTGTTGTCTTATTGAACACATTTGACTTAAGATTGTACATTGCCTCCAATGTTTTATGGAAAAGCTCAGAGTAATTAAACTAAATGAGAGCTGAGAGTTGAGGACTAGAATCCCAAACTCCCTTTATATATATATATATATATAAAAAAAGAGATTCCATCCCATCTCACATCATGGTTATTGACTAAAAGCAAGATAAGGTGAACACAAATAGGGTGGTCACTGGTGCTCAGCGATCTCCCCAGGGCATTGTTAAACATGCAGATTCCTGGCCCTTGAGGCTGGGATGCAGATCTGGAATCTGTACTTTGAACAAGCTTTCAGCAGATTCTAATGCAAGGGGTCCCTAGAACACCCTCTGGGCCACTGCAGGGCAAGGGATTCCGAGTGGACTTGTTTCATGTTTAAATTGGACAGTGGTATGTTTTGGGTATACAAAATACTACCCAGTGGGGCAGTAGTTTACACTGCAAGCAAGACAGAGCTGAATTGGGGGTCAGGGAGTAGTAGAGTATGATTTTATTCTAATACTCAGTGACTTGACTTCCCAGTTGGGTAACTCTGGGATGACACCTACACCTCAGTTTCTAAATGGGAGCACTAACCCGTTCTTCCAGGGCAGCTTCCCCAAGTTGTTCAGGAAAGGTCTAAAGGAGATATGGGACAGAGAAGCCATTTCTAAACAGTAAAGTGCTCTAGGCAGGCTGTGCAGGGGATTATGATTAACAAAGAGGTAGTGGGAATCTAGAGGGCTGGTGAGGCTGGAAGAGACAGGACATTCGGGATAGAGGGGGAAGGAGGCAGGGCCTGGAAGCTGGGTGTGCGACGGGAGAAAACAGATTGGGTGATAAAACCATAAAAGGTACTTGAGTGTGGGCAGAATGGACCCATATCAGGTATAAGAGGGTTAAGTGTTGTGCCCTTGGCCTTGCCAACAAGTCAGATATATAGAATGGTACCTGGGAGAGCAGCTGGCAGAGGGGTGTTTCTGGGGAGGCCAAAGGGAGTTCATAGGAAGCAAGACCTTTTGAAGGTGTTTATAAATTGGGTCAACCTTTAGTAGAAAACTAGGGAATAGGGTTGGCAGGGAGATAGGACATTGAATTCTAACACATGCACAGCGTAAGATCCACTGATAAACCAAAGTGGCTTGATCTTCTTTACAAATACAGACACCATGTCTCCCAGGAGGATCTAGTTTGGCTATTGGAAAAGGTCAAACGTTACCAAAGGTGAGGCTGCCCCATTTAGAGTAAGCCCTGCCAATTGGCCCCCCACTTCCCCTCAACCAACTGGTACCAAACCATGGACTCAAACCAAGGGGACTCTAGGGAACTAGGATCCCAGGGTTATTTGGGACTTTGGTTGTAAAGAGTGGGAACAGGGGGAACAAGGAGGAAGAAAGATAGGGAAAGAGGAGAGGGTTAAACATAAAAAAAGGCAGAAGAGTAGCGGGAAAGGAGAGAAAGGGGAGAAGGGCAGTACCCCTTCATGGGACCCCAAACCTCCTGGGAAATCCCCACTGTGGGTCAGGCAGTTTTCTGCTTTGGGAATGTTACCAAGACTTAAAAGGCATTTGAAAAAACAAATGGAACTTAGAAATTACATTCCAAAAGAGTAGAGAGTTTTTACAAACCAACCCCCCACCCCACCAAAAGAACACAATCAGTTATCAATCAAATTGCTAAAAACCAAACCAAACCAATATATACATGTAACATTTTAACCCTATTAAAGCCCCATGTCCCGAGGCTTCTGTAAGATGATACGTGTCCTTGCACAGTGGCATGCAGGAACTAGGAGCTGGAGCTTATGGGAAACCGAGCTCTGGAGTCTCTGACGCTGGCCAGGCACCAGGTGCTGAGACAATGAAGATGACACAGACGATCTTGGACAAGATGGTGGTAAGGCTTAGCGGTCCACGGACCGCGGGGTTCAGGTCTCACGGGGATTTCTCCCCAAGGCTGGAATGCAGCCTCCCTGGCCCTCTGCAGCTCGGGGAGGTAGCAGAAGGCTTCTGGTGACTTGTGGCCTGCTGTGACACCCCTCACCTTGGAGGGGCCTCTCTGACCTCAATGCGTGGGAGCAGCAGCATCCTCAGGGAATGGGCCCCTGGCTCCATCGGCTCACACAGGTCACTATGGCACAAAGGTGCAGCTGGTGACACTGGCATGGCTCTGATGTTCTGCTGATGGGAAAGAAGAGGAAGGACTTTGGGTAGCTGGTCCAGATGACCCTGAAAGGGCAGGACAAAGAGATGGCAGGTGGGTGTTGGGAGTGCAGGGTAGTCCTGGGGGAAAGTTAGCAAAGGTGCTGCTTTTGGTCTTCCTATGGGAAATTCCACAGACAAGCCACTTCATCCTGGTGTTTTCGCTCTGGGTCCCCAGGAATTACAGGAATGCTGTACGTATGCAGTCATGTATGATGGCACCAAGGGAAAGGCCACGGAAGGCCACATTGCAATGACCCCCATCACAATCCATCAAATTGCTCTGGCTGCTCACAAGGCAAGTGGGAAAGGGTGGGCAGCAGCATTGAGGCTGGGAGAAGCGCCGTGGCAGGCTGCAAGACTAAGGAGAGAGCCTGGTGGAAAGGCTGGCAGGCTGGCAAGACCTGAGGCAGGTGGATAATCTCTGATCGGTGTGCAAAACTGCACCATTCTGGAAGTTCAGTCTTGTTTTTCAGCGAGTTCTCTCTCAGGAAACTTGTCGGAATTTCCATGCTCTTGGTACACAGTCTGAGTAATCCATGATTGATTCATTAAAAAAAGGTGTCAGAGGGAGGGAGAGAAATGGGAAGTGAAATGGAAAGGACTTGGGAAATGCTATATCAGTCCAAAGAAGCGCTGGTAGTGGAATGGGTTAAGCACTTGGCTACTAATCAGAAAGTTGGGGTTCAAACCCACCAGCTGCTTCAACAAAGAAGCTGTGGCCATTTGCTTCTGTAATGAGCACAGTCTTGGAAACCCTATGGGGCAGTTCTATTCTGTCCTATAGAATTCCTATGAGTTGATGTAAGTCCAGCCCTCCACCCGGTCATCTAGTAGTTAATGCTGGGGCTTGGACAAGTACCCGGTGTTCTCTGAGGCTAAGTGGTCAGTGGTGTTGGGAAGCAGGCTGCAGAATTTTTGCAAACCTGAGCCAGGAGACCTGAGCTTGGCTGCTGAGTGGTCTCAGCTACAGCCTGTCCATTGTGTTAGAAGTCTTACTTTGTCCCAGTGGCAAGAATGCACGTCAACCATCAATAAATTACCTTAGGGACTTTGGGGTAAATTAAATTATTAAAATAAAGTAAACCACCTTAAATATTTATCATAAGAAAAAGTCAAATAAACAACCTATGTGAGATATGCATTTCCAAGCCCCAGTCTAATGCCATGTCCTGGGGAACGGACCTCTTGGGAGGTCTCCTTGGCCTGGCCAGGCCAATCAGAAGTCTCTTTACTGGGACCCAGAATGTCAACATGGTGGAGCTGTGGAGCTGCTCTAGGCTGCTGGGAATGAGACCCAGGGTCAACGTAGTGGGCAATTAGGCCTTTATGTGTGTACCAGGTCTTCAGACTGACTCTAACCTGTTTCTGTCCTCAAGGAGTCTCCTGTGGACACTGGGGCTCCCTCAAGTCACCTTGGCAAGGGTGGCAGTTCCAATGGCTCCTGATCCCGAGCCCTACATGTTCCCACCTCATTTCCTGGTCCTTGCTGCATCCAGGCTATGAGCAGGGAGATCCAGAGCTCCAGGATTCCAAGCAGATTCTTGGCCCTGGCTACTGCCCTATCATACCCCCTAAAGTCCCAGCAATCCAGAGCAGTGGGGCTGGGAGGAGTTGGTGGTGAAGGGAAGGAAAGGATGAGGATGGTGCTCAGTTCCTCCAGGAGCCATGTTGAGCTCTAGAGAAAAGTCTGTTCTTGTTGTTGGCATTTCTTCTCCCCAGGGAAGGAGTGTGTGGTTATCACAGAGCTTCTCGTTGAGTTCTTTGTTCCAAGGGACAAGGCCAGAGTGTAACTTTTCCTCGAATCTTCTAAGAAGAAGGTATTGGGTGAAACCAGGTAGGGCTAGCCCGGTTCTCCTTAGGATCGAGGGAGCAAACTTCTGACAGAGCTCTCTGTAGATGCTTCCAAAACCCAGTTTTGGTCTTTCTCCAACTTGCTGCCTTCCCTGGGAAGGTGGAGATCACCGCCCAGCGGTCAGCAGGAGACCCTGCTTTCTCTTGATGTGAAAGCTGTTTTCTGGCAGTGGTGTAGCTGTTGTCCCTCCAAGATGAGGTGATGCTGAGAGCATGGGTCCCTTCATGTCATCTCTGCTGGTTCCCTTCTGCTCTTCAGGACTGGGCAGCTTGAAGCGGGGCGCTCAACTGCTCTGTCACTCGCTGGGGGGGGCTGCCCTCTCTTCCCCACCCCAGCCGGACTCTGAAGGGTGCAGCCTGCACTTGGAAGGAGAGTGGCGGATGGCAGAGCGGGACGGCCGAGCAAAACAGGAGGTGAGAGACTGGGCGCTACAGTCACAAACAGCATCCTAGAAAAAGGGAGGGAGAAGTCAGAAGGAGCCAAAAGGCCCTGACCAGCCAGGGAATGGGGACCAGTCAGGTAAGAAATTTGAACTCAGCCATGCACAAACAAGACCAGTTCCCAGGGGCTGCAGCCTTTCCCTAAATGGCTTTTTCTTTTGATTGTTTTCCTCCCATTTTAACAATAAACAATGTTCATTGGAATAAACTCTGGAATAAACAGAAAAGAAAATGTACATTGCCATGGTCCTACAGAGAGAAGAAAATCTGCAATGATTGTATATGCATACATTTGTCAAAATGACTCATTCTCGAGAAACTATTTTGCAAAGGAAAGGACCACTGTTCAAAGCGCAACTTAAGAAGACAAAGCATGAAATGTACAAGGAGCTGGAGTTAGAAAATCTCTTTTCTAACCTGGAGTCAGAAAATCACTTATCAAACTAAAAGAAATGAAGAAAAAATTCAAGGCTCAGCTAGCAAAAGGGTTCTGTGACAAAATACTGAGTAACACTGGTAGCCTAAAAAGAAGGTGAAGGACTCTGCAGAGTCACTGCACCAAGAAGAATTCAATGATTTCAGGATGTAGCATCTGGTCAAGAACCGACTGAATTGAAGGAAGAAACCTAATCTTCACTGAAGGCAATGGCAAACAACCATGCTCTAGGAATTGATGTTTCAACAAACTGATACAGTGCTGGAAGCACTCACTCATCTGTGCTAAGAAATTTGGAAGACAGCTACCTAGCCAACGGACTAAAAGAGGTCCATATTTGTGCCCATTCCAAAGTAAGGTGACCTAACAGAATGCAGAAATCATTGAGCAATATCATTAATATAACACATAAGTAAAATTTTGCTAAAGATAAATACAAAATGGTTGCAGCAGCACATTGCCAAAAATTCAAGCTAGATTCAGAAGATGTGGAAGGAGAGGTATCATTGCTGATGTCAGATGGATCTTGGCTGAAAGCAGAGAATACCAGAAATATGTTTACTTGTACTCTACAGACTATGCAAATGTATTCAACTGTGTGGATCATAATAAACTATGAATAACATTGTGAGGAAGGGGAATTCCAGAATATTTCATTGTGCTCACGTGGAAACGGTATATAGAACAAAGTGATAGTCGTTTGAACAGAAGGGGATACTACATGGTTGAAAATCAGGAAAGGTGTGTGTTAGGGTTGTATCCTTTTATCATACTTAGTCAGTCTGTACGCTGAGCAAATAGTCCGAGAAGTAGAATTATATGAAGAAGGATGTGGCATCAGGATTGGAGGAAGGCTCGTTAACAACCTGTGATATTCGGAAGACATAACCTTGCTTGTTAGAAGTAAAGAGGATTTGAAATACTGACAAAGATTAAAGACTTCAGTATGGATTGCTTCAATGTAAAGAAAATGAAAATCCTCACAACATTATGATGAACAGAGAAAAGATGAAATAGTTAAGAATTTCATTTTACTTGGATCCACAATCAATATCCACGGTGTATCAGTTAAGAAAATTAGACAAATCTGCGGCAAAAGACTTCTTTAAAATGTTAAGGAGCAATGATGTCATGTTGAGGACTAAGGTGCACCTGACAGATGCCATGATATTTTCAATCACTTCATATGCATATGAAAGCTGGAATTCCAATAAATATGAAAGACTGGAGAAGAATCGATGCATTTGAATTATGGTGATGTTGAAGGATCTTTAAAAGTACCATGGACGGCCAGGAGAACAAACACATCTGTTTTGGAAGAAGTACATCCGGAATGTTCCTTAGAAACAAGCATGGTGAAACGTCATCACATGTACTTTGGACATGTTGTCAGGAGGAACCAGTCCCTGGAAAAGAACATTGTGCTTGGCAAAGTAGAGGGTCAACAAAAAAGAGGAAGACCCTCAACAAAATGGAATGACACAGTGGCTGCAAAAGTCGGCCTAAATATGACAATAATTTTGAGGATGGCACATGTCCAGGGAGTGTTTTTTTCTGTTGTCCATAGGGTCACTAGGAGTTGGAGCCAATTCTATGGTATATAGCAATGACAATAACAAATATATTTCTAGACCTCCTTTTTAATGGCTGTATACTAATCCACTGGAAGGAAATACCTTAATTTCTTCAACTGACTTTTGATGTGTGTCTCTAATTTTTCACTATAACCAATACAGAAAGATACAAGCACAGTGGTTAAAAGTGCTGTTTTAAAACCAAACTGCACCAAAAAAACAAAACAAAACTGCTTGGCTCAAAACCTAGACCTTCCATTTACTGATGGTGTGACCTTAGAAAAAGTACTTAACCTCTCTGAGCCTTGATTTCCTCCTCTTAAAAATGAAGGCCATGAAACTTTCTCCAAAGTTGTTGAGAGGGTCAAATCGGATGTGGCATGTAAAGCATTAAGCACGCGATAAATGTTAGCAATTTTTATTAATGTGGGACCTTATCCAGAGAAGTAGCAGCGCCAGAGATGGAGGCAGAGATGGGGGCATGGAGAGGGGGAGCGGCTGAGGACTCTAGATTCATCAACTAAGAAGAGAAGGACTAAGAACTGGTGGCCAGGAGCAGACTTGCAGAATGTGCCCTTT